GTATCCCTGTGATGTTAGTATCTAATAATATCAACATTGATCTACATACCTGACTCAGAGGGAATGATGGAGGATGCACAACTTAAAAGCGCGCCACTCCTCCAACAAAAAGAAAAAAATAATAATAAAAAGAGATACTCTTCTTTCATCAATAAACTATCACCACTTTCTCACATATCCTAAAACCATATTTCCAACAGTCAAGAAGAGAGAGAAATAGAGACTAAAGCACACTCTCAACATGAATCCCTGCAAGTAGAGTGTCTTTTATGTTAGCAAGATATCTCTGTCCCTAGCCTAATCAAGATGATTCCCAGACATTGAAAATTTGTCCCTGCCAGCAATACACAAAGACAGTTCAAACAACTTTGTAGAAGCAGTTAGGAAATTATAGTCTATAGGTGGATGTACTTAATTGGCTGGACCAAGTATAACAGATCCATTATTCAAACTGATGAATAAGCTATCCAATGCCTATTCGCAACACACCTCCTGTATTTTTCTCTTTGTGCTGAATTATACACTATGCTTTGGCAACAGAGGCATCACAAATTCCTGACAGACTAATATACAACATGGCGATGGCTTTTGATCTTACAGGTCCATCGACTGATAGACATATTGCCACAACACATCTTTTCATGGTCATGCACTTGAAATGAAGACACCACAGCAGAATTGGCACTCTTTCTTTACTCACTTCAACCCCATAAGCAATTCAAATAAAATAACTACGCAATCCATTATTAATTAGGACTGAGAAACATTCTCTAAAGCTAAGAGGAACAAATGGTTATGCTCAAAACCAAAGGGGCCACAATAGGCTGCACCTAACAGCCCATACAACAGGTCTAACAAATTTTAACACTAAAGTTAGCCTTGGAACCTAGCAAAAGATTACCTGCATCGTGCAAAGATGAATGACATCCTCGGGGTAATCTAGTATAGCTTAAAGAAATTAAATCCTAGGCCCTTTAAGTCAAAAAGACTATAACAAGCCTAATAAGACCTACAGTCCAACGGGGAACATCTAAGCAGCCTGTACCAATATGGCATAACTTCTTCTAACAGATTGTTTTCCCAAGAGGAAATAGCAATTGTCCTTATGAACCTTTTCTCTCCTTTCTTCATCTAATGGATGATTTCTAAGTTCATAAGGAAGACTTCTCTTTTTCTTTTTTTTTACATCTCGAGAAGAAGAGGCCTTAGATGTTAACTGGTGAAAACATATTGTCTATTCTATGAAAAAAGTCACGTAAAAACTTAAATGCACCAGCATCACACATAACAAATGTCACCATCAAACGAAGAAAAGAAAAGGATAACAGTCTAACTGCATAAGTAGAAAGTGTAACATGCTGTAGCTACAAAACACAAATGAAACAAGACTTATCGCTATCAAGCTTAAGTCAGAAAGGAAAAAATTAGAGTTCACAAAGAGCAAACTACCTGAATGTATGGATAAGTGTTGGCAGCAGCAGTATCGCCAATGAGCATTGAATCACACTGAGAGGAGTTCTTGGCATTTTCTGCACTGGACAACACCTGAACTAGTCCTCGATAACAGTTCCTAGAATGTCCTGCTGAAATACCCTTTGAAATTATCCTACTCCTTGTATTCTTCCCTTTGTGTATCATCTTTGTCCCTGTATCTGCCTGCTGATAATTATTGGTTAACGCCACGGAATAGAACTCACCAACTGATTCATCACCCTCTAACACAACACTCGGATACTTCCAGGTAATAGCTGATCCTGTCTCCACTTGTGTCCACGAAATCTTTGACCTAGCCCCAGCACAAATTCCCCTCTTTGTAACAAAATTATAAATCCCTCCTACACCTTCCTCATCTCCCGCATACCAATTCTGCACAGTGGAATACTTAATCTCCGCACCTTCATGGCAATACAACTCCACCACAGCAGCATGTAACTGATTAGTATCATACGAAGGTGCAGTACACCCTTCTAAATACTCCACAAAACTCCCTTCCTCTGCAATTATCACAGTCCTCTCGAACTGTCCAGTTTCCATTGCATTTATCCGAAAATAAGTCGAGATTTGCATCGGACACCTAGTGTTTTTGGGTATATACACAAATGATCCATCACTAAACACAGCCGAGTTTAAAGCCGCGTAAAAGTTGTCTTCCGGGGGCACAACTCTCCCTAAATACTTCTTAACTAAATCAGGATACTCCCTAATTGCCTCAGATATTGAACAAAAAATCACACCAGCTTTCTCTAAAGTCTTCCTATGAGTTGTAGCAATAGAAACACTATCAAGAACAGCATCAACCGCAACATTAGCCAAACGATTCCTTTCGTTCAACGGAATACCCAATTTTTCAAAATACTTAATAAGCTCAGGATCGGCCTCATCAAGACTATTCAAAGTTGGTTTCTGTTTAGGTTCAGAATAATAACAAATATCTTGAAAACTAATTTCTGGGTATCTATTATCAGACCATTTAGGCTCTTTCATTTTAAGAAACTTCTCATATGATTTCAATCTAAACTCAAGCATCCAACTAGGTTCATTTTTTCTACCAGAAATAAGCTTAACAGTTTCTGCAGAAAGCCCTTTTGGTAATGAAAAGGAATCAATTTCTTGACTAAAACCCCATTTATAGTCTCTTTTCAAAAATTTCTGAAGTGGATCATTTTCATTTGAGGTTGAAACAGAAGATTCTTTACCTGGGGTGTCAATAGTTGCCTCATAGCTCAATTCTGCAGCTTTGACCTTCAAGATTCTTGAATTAGGGTTTCTGGGGTTAGCTAATTTTAGCAGATATTGAGACCCTTTTGGTAGTTTAGGTTGTTCAGTGATGGATTGGGGAGAAAAACATGAGATTCCATTGGTAACAAGAGAAGCCATGATTGAATTTTCAGTTCTTGGAGATAGAAAAATTGGAGCTTTATTTGTTTTTTTGGGAATGTTTTTGGTGGATTTTATAGATTAGTGTTTTTTTTTGTTTTAAATTTTTGTGGTGATTGATTTTTAGAAGGGACTTGTGCTGGCCACATACCTTCTTTTTCAGCCATAAATATTTTGGATATTGTCATAATTATATTTTCTTGGTCTGAAATTATTTATCGTGTTTCTTTTTCACAATAATAATAGCATTCTCAATATGATTTCATAAGTCAGATATGAAAAGGATCGAGTGTAGGTAAACATTATCTCTATCTTGTAAACAAGTAAAAAGTAGTTTCAAATGTGTTTATCTTTTACAAGCCTTTTAAAAGAAATATATTTGTTAATTATAAGGGGTGTGTTTGATAAGAAGGAAATATTTTCCACCGCAAATATAATTTTTTTTCTTGAAAAAATAAGTGAGTTTCTTACTTATTTTTTAATAGTTGGTAAGTAAGAAAAAAAATATTATTTCAAGAGAATTTATATGTTATCTAGCAAAATCTTATGGAGGTAAGATGGGATGAGAAGTGGAGGTTCGGGGGATTGAGTGAGCAGAGAGGAGATAATAAACTTAGAATATCACTTGTGCAATTTGGTTTCCTTACTTTTATTAGGGATATTATTTTTCTCAATTTGAAGGACTTTATTTTCGTAGAGAGAATGCTTTCTAATAAATTTGATTAAGCAAACGTAGAAAAATGAAATAATATTTTTAGAACATTTTAAATTATTTTCTCCTTATTTGTTTGAAAAAATAATAGAACCTCTGCATAGTTTAAATGTGTAATTGAAACTTTGTCATAATTTAGAGTGATTCTTATCTTTTATTTTATCCCTAAATAAATTGAGTAACTTTTTCATTATAACAAATAGTTTGGTGACTTTAGTTCACTAAAATGAAAATTGAGATCATGAAAAAATCAACCCCAAAAAATAGGTGAGAAGAAAACTTCATTAGGAAAATAATAGCAAGATCTTTATTTATTTTTGTATGAGCAATTGGTTTTAGATAAATCTCAATTCTTTTTGGAACAAAGAAGAAGGTAATTTCTAGTTTCTCATTCATAGATATTATATATTCATCAATTTCAAGAATTAACATTCAAATATGTATACTTGAATTAACATTTATCAGATCTATTGCAATTGTTTACGTGCATGTGAATTTTTGTGCTCGTATATGTTTTTCTTGAGTCGAGGATCTATCAGAAATGATCTCTTTGTGTAAGAGGTAAGATTTGCGTACACTTCACTTTTCCTTGACTCCACTTATGAGATCAGATTGTGGTAAGATTTTATGTACACTCCACTTTTTCGTGACTCCACTTATAAGATCATATTGTGATAAGATTTTACGTACAACATTTTCTTGACTCCACTTATGAGATCAGTAGTGGTAAGATTTTACGTACACTTCACTTTTTCTTGACTCCACTTATAAGATCTATTTTTGTTGTTGTTGTATAGATGGATTTATTTATTTTTCAGTTTTTTTTATCACTTTATGGAAATCTTATGAGTAGTGATGATTCATTTTTTATATCTTCTATTCAAGAGCTAAGAAACTATTGTCAAAAAATTGCCAATTAGATAATTTGAAGTGAAATTTATATACTGATGATGATCATGATATTGAAGAAGAAATTCTTCAACAACAGAAAGAGGAGAGTGGAGACATCAAGAATCCCGGGGCGGAGCTAGACGATCGAACTCAATAGCTTTAGTTTAAATCAGTGTTTGTATACTCATTAAGTTCAAATCATGTATCCACCATAAAGTCCATAGGAGAATCCCGAACTCGAACTCCATAAAGTTCAAATCTTGAATCCACCGCTAAGAAATCATATGAAGGAAACAATAAACAAAGGATTTGTCATCTCATTTGTCTTACAACTTTATCTGAATCCCTTAGATTATATGAAATGTGCTAAAATGAAGAGGTGAGGATTCAGAAAGCCGACCTCAACTTGTTTAGAATCGAGACGTAGTTATTGTCTTTGAATTTTTTTATCCTAGTGCATGTATTTGTGATACTTATCCATGAGAGAAAACTAATGTCTTCTATTACATGTAAAGTGAAGGTTACACATAATGAATGATCAAACTAAACAACAAAATCCCTCTGCTCCAACAATCCTTCCAGCAAAACGAAGGCGCGGTCGCCCTCGGAAAGATGAAGGTGAAGCTAAAAGAATGATCTTGCAGACTCCAACAACTCCAGCACCAGAAATCATGAGGCAAAAAGATATCACTACTGATGAAAACATGTTAGGACAAAGTGTTTCTGGTGTCATTGATGGTACTTTTGATGCAGGGTACTTCCTTTCTGTCAAGCTTGGTAACAACGCCACCACGCTCCGCGGATTAATCTTTGAGCCGGGGCGATTTTCTCCCATAACAGCAGCAAATGACATTGCCCCACAAGTGAAAATGCATCACAGAAGCCAAGTTATAACTCTACAAGATCAAGAAAATGGTAGTACTAATGAGCAGCTGAATGTGTCTCCAGAACAAGTTTTGTTGCCTTCTGATCATCCATTAGTACGTAACGATCAACGTGCTAATCCAGATGAAATGATCAAACATCAACCACAGTTTACCCCTTTATTGGAAAACCTTAGAATGGTTGAACAAGACGAGGTGATGGAGGTGTTTGAAGTCGCGAACCAATCAGGTTTCGAGTTAAATGCAGAACAAGGTAAATGTACCAATGGACAGAAGAGTACTCAGAGACAACTTACAGACTCAATCTCAATAATTCAGCCAGGTACTCTTGTTTGTTCTGATCTCAACAGCTCAAACGACGAGATCCATCATAATAATGTTGTCGATGGATCACAAGAACTGGGATCGAATCAAAAACAGATCGAAGCTGAAGTGGAGAACAACAAGTCTAATCTTGAAACTTTAGTTCAGCCAACAGAGTTGGTTCATTGTGAACTAAAGAAACTCGAGATCCATCGAGCTCCTCCTATAGATGCTCAAACTCAACTCATTCCAACAATCAATCCAGAGCTTCAACTGAATGATTTGTCACAAAGTGGACAAGGGAATCAAGATTTTCAACCTCACCAAACTCCGTCATTCGTTGAACTTAACTTTCTAGCACAAGAAACAGTAGCAGCAGAAAGTGAAGTAAAGCCAAGTGATTCAATTCACAATGAACTACATTTTGTTGACATGCCTCAACATAATGTTACTAGTGACACTCAAGTTATGCCTCAAGAATCAATCAGTGAATCAGTGGACTTTACGATGGAAATGCGAAATTCTCCAAAGGAAAAGCAAAGTACTGATGTTGGAACAGAAGTTGAGTTTGTAGGAAAGGAAGAAACTTAAAATGAAAGGGAATAAGCAAGTGATGTTAGGTTCACAATGAGTAGCACAGCCAGAAGGATCGTCCCGTTCCTATAGAACTTATCACTAAAATACCTCTAGCTAAGTGATTATCTGATAATAAACAAGAATTATCTTTCTGCCAAATATGATGGATTGAAGTAAGAAATTATTAGAAGTTTTCTTTATGAATGTCAACTGAGTATCGTCAGTAAGTTGCTCCATGTTGTTCACTCTTTTGATTACCAGAGTCATTCTTTGATAAATGAATCATATGAGTTAGACTCAACAAAATTTGATCCTATCCTTTTTTTTGTGTGTGTTAAAATGGAGTACTGAACTGCGAATTCTCTTTCTTCGTCCTCAATTGAAATGTAACTTATTTTCAAACTCACTTTTCACTTTTGAAGTTGTATTTAAATAGATTAAAGCATGAGCATTGTACGAAATATTCTTTACGAAAAGTATAACCAAATACAACTCCATCTTCAATTCCAACTCCATAAATTTCAAATGAAGTGAAAAATATTTGGATCTACTTATAGTGCCATGCCATCTAAAGCTATTATATGAACAAATAATGCAGAAAATACAATTTCTTTTTCAACATATATAAGTGGCATATAAATGGTGATTATCCATTTATAATTAACTTATTTTTAAAAGTATTTTAGGAGAGTAATAGTGTGTGTTTAATCAAATAAAGCATTTTGAAGTGTCAAATATGCATATACGCTGTCACCCACTATTTATTAATTAGCAGAGTGACTCAAAGAATTGGTTAAACACTAAATGTCATCACATAATAATTTTGTTTTGTTTAAATTAATTTTTTAAAGAATATTTTATTAATATAAACACCCAAATTTATTTTATTTGATTTACATATTTATTATGCTTATGTAATGAATTATATACATCAGATACTAAAAAAAATTATAGATTCAGGCATCTTAATCTTAATGAAAACAATTAAAACCTTAGTAAATACTCAAATAAGTTATTTCAAAAGTATAACCAAAACAAAATATCCTCACTGTTTTAATTTGTATATCTTACTTTTATCTGAAATAGCATTTAATTATAGCAGATTTTTTAATCGGTCTAAAATAAACAATGTCAAATGTAAATACACTTAATCTTAAACATATCACATACAAAGTTAAAATAAAAAATTATCGAACAAGTAAAGAGACGCTTTTGAAAAAATATATTAAAAATAAGCAAGACTAACAAATTGAAACAAAAGTATTAGTTTACAACAGTTATATACCCTAATAAAATCCCACAAGTGAAATCTACAAGGATAGAATGCATATATAGACTGTACTACTACCTACCTCAGGGAGGTAGAGGTGTTCCCAAAAGACCCTCAATATAGTTGCAAATCCATGTACAATGAAGATAATAATTTTAAAAAACTTAGCAAAAAGCAGTGCAAAGAATATAAAAAGGGAAACAAGAACAACAAAACAGTGCGGATAACCAAAACACAATAAAGAGTACATGATAAATGCTTCAAAAGAAAGATTATCTAACCAGACAAAATAAATTCCAACAAGAGTAATATTTTTCTTCCAATAAACTAACTCCTCAAGAATCAAACTATTTTTAATCAAAACACCATACCATTTTTTTGTAAAAGAAAGGTTAAATAAAAGCACCATAATTTAGAAACATAAATCATAGCAGATTACAATATACGTTGTATAACCTCTTTGGGCCTTAGAAAAACCAACTAGAACAAAAATCCAAGTACCAAGTTGGACTCATGAAAAGTAAACATAAAAGAGCAAAAACCAAAAAGATCAAATAAAGAAACCAATGAAAAATAGCAGAAAGTAACTAATGAAAAGTAAGTGATGGTTGACCACAACCATAAATACTGATCTTCAAGAACCAGCCTACAGTAGTTTGTTTATCTTATAGTAAATCTGATGCAAACTTCGAATCCATGCCCCTCCCTTCTCTACATTGTTGCAGTACCATGCTAGGAAGCTATCGATGACTCCTTTAACCAGCAGAGATCACTGCACAGCCACATTAGAATAGCAACAAGTATTAACAATATGTAATGAATTTATCAAGCTATTATCACATTAGAATAGCAACAAGTATTAACAATATGTAATGAATTTATCAAGCTATTATCATCAGTAACTTGTAAAATTAATTCTTTAAGTTGTTGAAAACCTGTGGTTGTTGCTGCTGTGGAGGGTAATTTCCATACCCAGCATAACCCCCATAATATAGATTTGGATCCTGAGCAGGTTGAGCATAACCATAGGCAGCGGCAGCAGCAGCATCATATCCAGCTGAATACCCATAATAACCACCATACTGGTTTGGGTCAGCCTGAGGCTGCACAACCCGAAGATGAAACATCGTGTATGTCATGCACTAAGATTAGCGTCAGAAACCAAAAAAATACTAATATTTATGCACTAACTATTAACCTGCTGCTTGTTGGAAGGGCTACGACCCCATGAAAGGCGGATAGTTTGTCCACCCAGCTGAGTTCCACTCAATGCTCGTAGAGCTTCCTCGGCACAACTTCTGCAATTACAAAACCAACCATGTTATTATCATTGAAGTCAAATTAACATTATTATTTTTGTCGAATTAAAATATGAACTTCAAAACCTGTCAGCAAATTGAACAAAGCCACAACGTTTGCCTACTGGTATTTTCACATGAAGCAACTGTCCGTAATTTCCAAAAACCTGCCTTAGATGGTCATCTGTTACATTGGCATCCAAATTCCCAACGAATATCTGCAATCAATGTCAATTTCACATGAGTACAAGTCAACAGAAAATTATAGTACTTCCATAAATAAATGTACTGACAGTTGTATTAGAAGGGTCATCCTCATTTTGAGTTCCATTGGTACTTTGATATGAAGCTGCAAATGAAAAAAACAATAGGTGAGGGTAGATGCAGATAACTTTTTTATCCATTTAAAAGAAATACTCCTAGTATTTATCAAGAAGATGGAAAGAGGTGGAAACGAAATTAAAAGCATGTGTACAATAAATCTTCAAACATTAAGAGCAGATAAAAAGTCAAGTAGATTAGCACGGCTAAAAGCATAAACATAATTTTTGTGCTGTGTTATAATACAAACAAGTTTGAGGATTGGTTACACCTGGTAGTTGAAAAGAACACTATGGTATTTGGATTCAAGAGATAAGAAAGACACCCTGAGCTGTTGTTACTTCATAAATTATATGGGTTTCAACGACCCAACAGAAAAGTATCAGATATGAATATTCAAGATCCATATTAACTAGTTCTAATGGACCCCCAACAACAAGCACACAAGATAAGTTGATATTCCAGATTACTTTTTAGGTTCAAAGTAAACAAAAAAAGGGACGCAAAAATGCTGATACAAAGAGTGAAAGAGCAGTTGATCAACAATAAAAATACTTATCAACAGGATTCAATATTGTGACATGACCAACCAAATCCTGTGATGTACTACCCCTAACATTGAACCAAAGCCCTTTGAGCTTATAACTATTGCCTAAAATTCTCTCAGTATCACTAATACATAAATATAAATATGAAAATCATATTAACAAATCCATACCCCGTCCCAACACCATCATATAAATTGGCCAATTGCGAGATCATGAGAGACTCCTCTAAACCAGCCTCAACATCCCTTAATAACTTGTTATAGAAATCAAACTATTGAAACTTCAAGAAAAAAATGAACAACAAAAAATTGTTCACTAGAATCTAAATAATCTGAAAATGGCAATAAGCAAAACGAACATTGACATGGAATCAAGGTGTCCCCGTGGTTTGGGCTTGGGACTTCCATGTTGGAGGTCTCAAGTTCGAAACCCCTTGCCTGGTGCGGGGTCAAGCTTGTCGCACCAGGCTTGCCTAGTGCGTGTTACCATTTGTGGTCTGCGAACTATTGCACAGGAGCGGGGGTTTTACCCTATATGCACCCAAAGAATAGCGGCTGCGAGTTTCCCTTGCCATAAAAAAAGGGACATGTTATGGCTGCATTAGTGTATGAAGGTGAGTGGAAACAACCCTACTCTGTTGAGGAATTTTTGTACAAGTTGTAAAAAATAAAATGGCTGAAAAGTAAAGGAATGGATACAAGACCCAATTATATTTATTTAGGAATTGGGACTGAGAAAAGCTTAAGGAAACTGAAGATCAAAGTGACACTCATGGCAGGCTAACTAGATATAAAGAATAAAACGGCTGATATGTAGAGATAAATAAACTTAGAAAGCGTAGTGGAAAAAGGAAGAAACTGGAAAAATAAAAAAATTAATGCCACGAGGATCTGACATAATGGAAATTTTGCCACATTTAAATGAACTGACCTACACAACATCACGTCTTAAAAGTTACTCATTTCAGCGGTAACAAGCTCCAGGCTCCAAAATGATAGAGCCTCCGACCATTCACCCTGCTTCGAGACAATCGGAGTTTTATGAGATTTAATATTTCAAGGGATGTCTTTAATGAATGGAAGGAAAAGATGTTGAAAGCTGGTGCTAATTTTCAAGGAACGAGGGCAAGCATAACAGCACTGTTTAACCCAGTGAGGTCAGAACAAACCAGCAATTGCCCCCAAAATAAACCAATATCAATATCATCATCAAGCAAACAAAACTCAAATTGTCAAAAGCACTAAATCGCAAATTTACAAGAGCACATGTTCAAAACCTAGGAATGCATATGTACTCAACTGCAAGCTAGATGCATTCCTTAACAGCTCTAAAGGATATCTATATAGACCAGTACAAGAAACAACGAGGTTGGAACATACCTTGCACCTGACCAGGTACACTCTTCTTGTTAGCTGCATGGCCTATCCGCATTGGCCTAGTGGAGCAGAACTTGCCATTCATCTCAGTCATAGCATGAATTTGCTCACTTTCATCGGCAAATTTAACAAACCCATAGCCCTTTGTGCGCCCAGTGACCCTATCAGTCACAACCTTTGCACCCTTGACTGAGGAGTAGTT